AAGTTGTATTAGATTTAGAGTTGAGAGACAGGGCTTATTTTCACTGGCCGGCATTGCAGCAATTGTTGGAGAAAAAGTGGGGAAAGATAAACACAGAGATTCTAATAATAAGATTCTTTCTTACCCTAGAGATGAAGCACATGATTTTTATCGTGAAATAAAACCCCTTAAAAATACAGCTCTGAGAAAAAAAAGAAAAAGAAAAATATCCTCTCCGCTTTGGCCGTTCTACTTTTCGAATTCAAAGTCATCTTGAGATTGGCTCATCTAGGGATAATAAACTTGGTGATTAAAGAGCTGTATGTCTTGGAAAGCCTCTATCCTTCTTAGAGCCCCCGCCTCTATCCTGATACAGGACCCCCTATCAGTTTGCGAGATGACACAGCAGCCCGGAATGAATGGCTGAAGCCACAGAAAGGCATTTTCTCACAGTTCAGGAGGCTGGAAGTCTGAGATTAAGGTGTCTCAGAATTGATTCCTTCCAAGGCCTCTGTCCTTGGCTTTCAGATGACCTTCTTTTTCCTGAGTCTTCATGTGGTCTTCCATCGCTGACCACATCTGCCTCCAAACTTCCTCTTCTCTTAAGGAATGGATTAGGGCCAACCCTAAATAGACCTCATTTTAACTTTATTACCTCTTTAAAGGACCTTGCTACAAATACAGTGACATTCAGGTTAAGACTTCAGCATGTGAATTTTTGGAGGGACCCAATTCAGCCCATAACACAAACCTAGGATAAGTGTACATGCCTAAATTTAGCTGAAGTGTATGTGTTAAGGAAAGGCTTGGGAAATAGAACTCTGAAATAATTTTCTATGAACCAGTTTGGAAATTTAAGGGGGGCAATTTTCCCTCACAATGACAAAACAAGTATATGGTATATTAACCAGCAAAAAATGAGAAGCCTAATAATTAACAAGTAAGATTTCTGTAGAAAAAATATAACTATGTAACAGTACATAAGTGTTTAACTGTATGACAGACATCATGTTTAACTGAAGTGATGATGATTTAAGAGAAAAGGGGCTTGGGAATGCAGAATTTCAATATTGTTGTCTAAATACCAGCATTAGCCAATTAAAAAGTGTAATGGGGCTCAGCACCTGTGGCTCAAGCAGCTAAGGCACCAGTCACATACATCTAAGCTCACTGGTTCAAATCCAGCCTCAGCCTGCCAAACAACAATGACGGCTACAACCAAAAAAAAAAAAAAACAAAAAAACAAATAGCTGGGTGTTGTGGCAGACAGCTGTAGTCCCAGCTACTTGGGAGGCAGAGGCAGAAGAATCACTTGAGCCCAGGAGTTGGAGGTTGCTGTGAGCTGTGATGCTATGGCACTCTACCGAGGGCAACAAAGTAGGACTCTGTCTCTAAAAAAAATAATAATAAGTAAATAAATAAAAATAAATACATATATCCATTCTTTTCAAAAACATAAATTAAACCCAATCATAATCAAAACAATAAACTTTCTATGGAGATTGACAAGCTGATTCCAGTTTTCATCTGGAAGAAAAAATGAAGAAGGATAATTAACAGAAGAGCAATGCTGAGGGAGGTGTCATCCCTTCCTCAAACAAATATCTAAACAGACTATTATACCAATTAATGCAGGGTGGTATTTGCATAGGCACAGACAAAGAGATCAATAGAATAAAATAGAATAGAAACAGACAGGGGCACATATGTAATTCAATACATACTGAAAATCAATTTAAAAAGATGGAAAAAGCAATAGCCATATAGCAAAGCACCGTGTAACATTGACAATCTAACTGGAAACACGTAAAATTGGTTTTCTCACCTGTGATACCAAAAATAAAGTGTAGGTGGATCTATAGACCAAATACGAGATGCAAAATTATAAAAGTTTTACAAGAAAACATAAAATAGATAATTTGAGACAGAGGAAGCCTAACCTAAAGGGCCATAAAACCCAGAAGCCATAAAGGAAGTTGCTGGGAAATGTAATTGCATAAATGTTTGTTGTAATTGCTTGAAGAAAGACACTATTAGCAAAATTAAAACGTGAGCAAAGGATTAGAAGAAAATGTGTGCAATATTTAAAACAGCTTAACACCAGAATTATGACCTGTGTGATCCTGGGCAAATTTCATGAGTTCATGATGCCTCACTTTTCTCATCTAAAATAATTGGGATAATTTTGGCTATGAAATTCATTACAGTTAATTAAAGGCTTATGCCATGTCAGGGGTCTAAGAGTTCTACACGCATTAACTCATTTAATGCCTTGATTCATTTAACCTCCCACTATAAGTTAGAAACAATCAGATAAGACATAAAATGCTTAGCACAGTCCTAACTTCACATAGCACTTATAAAACATTCATTGATATCATCACCACTTAGTAAATATTTTTCCATTTCCGTAACACTCATATGGAGTTTCATACATGCTGGGCAATTTGTCATTGTTCTAAGTCAAGGTTGTCCAATCTTTTTTCTCTGCCACACATTGGAAGAAAAAGGGTTGTCTTGGGCCACACATTAAATACACAAACACTAAAAGAGTTGATTAGCCAAAAAAAAAAAAAAAAAGGCCTATGCATACTTTCTGTGATATACAACACCCCAGAGAAGCAAAAAAAATGTCCACATAAAATCAGCATGTGGCTCTCAGGCTGCAGGTTGGACACCCCTGCCTATACATGTTAATTAATTTAGTATACTTATTTAATCTTCAAAACAAGTATGTGAGATAAGTACCATTAGTATAAATTTTTTAAATTTTGAGACAAGGTCTCAAGTTGTCAACCTGTGTACAGTGCCATGGCATCACAGCTCACAGCAACCTCCAGCTAGGGCTCAAGCTCAGTTTTTTCTTTCTTTTTTATTTATTTATTTTTTTAAGAGACAGAGTCTCACTTTATTGCCCTCGGTAGAGTGCTGTGACATCTCAGTTCATAGCAACCTCCAGTGTAGAGGATGCCAAGAGCCAGATGACCTCTGAGCAAGATGATTTACAGCTGGGGTGTGGACCCTCAGGCCATTCATCCACAGGTGTTTCTTGTAGAAGAAGAGCCCGAGCCTTCAGCTCTCAGTCATTTGTTAATTACTCCCCTCACCTGTGTTGTACGGTCTCAATAAAAGGCTAGTGCAGCGGTTACTGGGGGCTACCCCGCAACCAAGGGCTAGTCTGCTTCCTATAAGCTTGTACTTTTAATCCGCCTCAGGCCTGGTTCCTTCCTGCGGTGGTGGAGACTTGGGCCACAGGGGCCTGAGGGTTTGTGACACCCCAGCTCTTGGGCTTAGGCGATTCTCTTGCCTCAGCCTCCCCAGTAGCTGGGACTACAGGCGCCCGCCACAACGCTGGCTATTTTTTTTGTTGTAGTTTGGCCGGAGTTGGGCTTGAACCTGCCACCCTCGGTATATGGGGCTGGGGCCCAACCCACTGAGCCACAGGCGCTGCCCCAGTTTTTTCTATTTTTAGTAGAGAAGAGGGGTCTTGCCTTTTGCTCAGGTAGGTCTTGAACTTGTGAGCCCAAGCTGGGCCCTGGCTCAATCCACCCACCTGAGCCTCCCAGAGTGCTAGGATTACAGGCGTGAGCCACCATGCCAGGCCCATTACTCTAATTTTAGAAATGAAGGAACTGATGTTATGACCGGCCACAAGTTTGACTTTGGGCATCTTCATCCATAAAATGGGGATAATAATGTTACTATTTCATAGCCTTGTTGGTAGGATAAAGAACAAGAAGGAACACAGGCTAAGGACCTAGTACTCTGCTTGGAGCTCAGTAAATTCCTAATGAGTAACTATTATTTTTCAGAAACTGGTGGTGGAATACAAACTTTAAAGACACATTTCCTGCCCTTGAACTTATAAAAATAGTGCAGGAGAAAAGTATAAACAGATACACAGCTAAACGCTGAATTTTGTTGGTAGTGCTCTGACAGAGGTATTTATACCAGAGAAGTGCTCAGGGGAGGAGGTGAGGTCCCAGCTAAACCACACAAGATACGTGAAGCCCAGAGGGCAGGCAGGTGGCGACACTGAGGGGACGATTGGAGGCAGAGGGAACAGCAGAGGCAGTGGACACGGGTGGCTGGGAGCGGGGTGGGGGTTGGCGGTGCTCAAGCGTGAGGCCTGGAGGGCAGGGAGTGAGCCCAGGGAGCAGGGAGGCAACCCACGGTCCAAGATTTCTAGAATCCGAGCCTTGCTGGACAGCCTTTGAAGGGTTTGAGCAGGGTGAGATTTTCTGGGGTTTCATTTGAAAATAGATCTAATTGGTAAAGAGAGGATGGACTGAAGCACATGAAGGGCAGGGGGACCGATCAGGACCCGTGGCCACACTCCTGATGAGAGAGGAGCCCTCAGCCAGGGGAGTGAAGCTTGGTGATGGTGGCAAAGAGGGGTGAACTGGGTGCACGATTCACTCCCGGAATGAATCCCTTGCAACCCGGCCTCCAGGTACAGGGCTGGGCGCCGAGCCCATCTCTGGCCACACACAGAGAGGAGCAGCAAGAACCAGGGGCAACGGTCCTGTTACTGAGCCCAAGTGAGAGAATAGGAGTGAACAGAAATATTTCGAGCACTTTTTATAGAGCATTAAGACTCTGCTCGAGTAGGCGGGGCGAGCGCTGGTGATATGTGGACAATCATGTTTAAATGTGACCCAATCAGTACCCGCAGGACTACACCAGACCTTCTCGAACTTGATAAATTTTGTAAAACCGCCAAGCCTCGGAGAAATTCCAGGAGTGACCGTCACACTTAAACATTCAAGTTTCGCTCTCAGCCCTGCCTCCCTGCACTTGGAAAAAACGCTGCGCACCCCAGCTCCGCCAGGGGGCAGGAGAGGGCACCACTCTCAGGGAATTAAAAAAATCTTCAGCTTTCCCCCCAAACTGTGTTCCTCCCCAGGAAACCGAATCCTCCAGCGGTGGCGTCCCAGGCGCCCGCCCCTCGCCCGCCGCGTGTCCCTGCAGCCAGACCCCGGCGCTCTGCCGCACGCCCGCCCCCGCCCCCGGCCCTGAAGATGAAGCTTTGGCTGCTGCTCGGACTCCTGCTGGTGCACGAAGCGCTGGAGGATGGTGAGTGAGTCCGGCCGGGGGGGACACCCAGACTTTAGCCGGGACCCCTACTCCCTGTCGCCCTCCTGCCAGCTCTTCCCCTAACTTTCGGCCTTTGGTGGCTCTGCCCCGCGGCGTTGCTCCCTGCTCCGTGCACCTGCCCCCTCCGGGTAAGGTCTTCTTTCCTCCCACTCGCCACGTCCCCAGAGAGCCTTCTAGGGAGGTGACAGCTACCCTGACCCTTGAGAGCCCCAGCGGGACCTCTCCAAGCCTCCTAGAAAGCCCTGGGCGGGCGCGCCGAGCATCCCCAGCCAGCGCCTGGTCCAGCCCCTAGTGTCAACGTGTCGGTCTGGGAGGTGGCCCCGGAGCCCGGATCGCTTCCACCTCCGCGCCGCGTGGCCGAGGACCTCTGCTACTGCGGAGGGCGGCTGCCACCTATACGAGGCAATCTCTGGTTCTTTTGCAAAATTCCAAATGACTTGCACTTCTCCGCAGTCCCAAGTGTGTTTCGTATACCTCCCTGTACTTGAATCCTGCAAGATTCACTTTTTTGATCTTTCTAGGACTTTTCAAAAATTTCCATATATTAAACTTCAGAAAGAATCAAAATCCCACAGCTTGTTACATTTCTTATCTGATTGGATGAGAAAAGGAGAAGGCAATCCTTTTTTTTTTTTGGTACTGCTTATGTGCACCCTGCCTGTTTCTGAACGTGGGCCAGCCCCGGGTCCACCCTGTTGTGTAGTAGACTCATAACCACAGGGCCAGGCTGTCTGTGTGTGTGTGTGTGTGTGCGCGTGCGTGTATGTGTTACTGTTGCACATACCGTGTTTCCCGAAAATAAGACCTACCCCAAAAATAAGCCCTAGCAGGATTTCTATGCATTTGGTAAATATAAGCCCTACCCCAATAATAAGACCTAGTGATGGGCATGGCTATGCAGCGTATCTGTATAGCCACACCAGGCATTTCGGCGCAGAGAGGAAGATATCCCCTGAAAATAAGCCCTCGTGTGTCTTTTTGAGAAAAGATAAATATAAGACAGCATCTTATTTGGGGTAAACACGGTACTGTACATTACTATCAGCACTATCAGCATTTAGTTGTTTTGCTTGCTTCATTATTTACTCAAGTGGTGTTTCTGTGTGGTACATATTTCATCTGGACACATCCTGGTGTCCTCAAGCCTTTTGAAATTCCTCGTCTACCATTTTTGCTTAGATTTGGTTGAAAGGCAGCTTTTGCTGTTATGCAACCTTGCACCGGAGCCAGCTCAACCTGGCTCACACTTTATCCACTCCTCAATCCTGACCAGCTCCTTTCTTTCCTATGAAACGCCAGGCATTTGCCAAAAAAAAAAACCACATTCTAGTTCGCCAAGTCCAAGATGGTGATGGGACTTCAGTTGAGCATGAGACTCTCTTAAGCCCAGGGCCCTGCTTGATAAAATGCAGGCAGAGTAGATTGGGGGTGGGGTCGGGGGGTAACACTTAATTTGGTGCCCAGAGAGAAGCTGGCATGAATTCAGCTTGTAAAATGCGGTATTAAAATGCTCCAGGCAGGTCTTATATGTGACCGCTGACATGGTGGAAATGCAGTATTTGGTATCATTTTTTTTGAATAAGGCAGAACATGGATGGATAAAGTCATTTCCAAGAATCCATTCACTTCTTTTGTACCCAAGATGTCAGTCTTGGAGGCTCCGGAAGCAACTTCAGCTTCTGCCCCTTGGATCTCTCCCAGCCAAGGTGCATTATTACAAACGTCTGTTGTAGTAAGATAGCGTGTTTAAAATGTAATTCATACAAACAGTAAATGTTGAGACAACCAGGGAGAGTGCAATAGAGACAATATTTTATAAGAAATAATTGATAAATGTTAAGTGGGATTATAGCACTGTGGTTTTGTGTTTGAAAGTATATATATACAGACAGTTTATGGATAAAATAGTGAACATATACTTATTAATTAAATTATGTAACTGTTTTCCTAACCCTATTAAGAATGTTTTTCCTGGTTGGGTGTGGTGTCTCACGCTTGTAATCCTAGCACTCTGGGAGGCCAAGGCAGGAGGATCATTTGAGTTCAGGAATTTGAGACCAGACTGAACAAGAGGGAAACCCAGTCTCTAAAAAAATAGAAAAATTGGCTCGGCACCTATAGCTCAACCGGCTAAGGCGCCAGCCACGTACACCTAAGGT